GAGCTGTTTGTTGTGGTGGGGCCGCCATGGTGTGCGAGAAGTGTGAGTATTGAGGGGGGGGGGCTCCTGCCCTGCCTTCTCCTCCCCTGCCCTGCCCTCCTGGCTCCTCAGGGGTCCTGGGCGCCCCTTGAGCTGAGCAGCAGCTACGGGTCCCGGGCTGTATCGGGCGGGCTGCGTAGGTGGCGGTTCCGGGAAGGCCTGTGTGTGAGCTGGCGTTCGCCCGAAGGCAGCCCTTGTTGTGAGTGTTGACGCAGTGTTGTTTTGATTTTTTTCCTCCGTAACGTTTCCTTACGTAGGTGAGAAGAAACTCGGTACGGTAATCACTCCCGATACGTGGAAAGATGGTGCGAGAAACACTACAGGTAATCCTGGGGAGATTTGGGCACCTGAGCTGTTTTACAATCTTAAGGCTAAAACTTGAAATAGTTAATCCGTTTAATTTTTAACTCCTATAGTTTCCCTCTCGTGCCGTTTTAATGCAGTGGGCATTTATTTATCCTGAGCTCTTCAGTATGGAACTTGTTTGTTTGGTTTTTTTTTTTCTTTGTATGGAATGGCGATACACAGAGCACAGTATAAAGTATTCCATTGTCCTGTATTTTGTGTTTTATCTCTCTTTGTGACTTTATTTGCACATGTTTAAAAGCAGTAAACTAAGCTTCTTATGTATGCTTGGAACTGGGAAATTTATTGGTTTATGCTTTTATACTTTTTGTAGAAAGTGGTGGCCGCAAGTTAAATGAAAACAAGGCGTTGACCTCAAAGAAGGCAAGGTTAGTATTTATACCAATTTTGGCTAAAAATGTCAGTTTGCTGTAACTGAGGCCTGTTTCCTGCATATCTAGGCAACTGTTCAACATGTGTCCAAAATACACCTTTTTTTTAAAAAAAAAAAATAAAATTATGTGGATTATGCCATTTGATTAGATGGTAAAAGTATCTCCATACGTATTTCATGGGTGCTCTCTGCTGAATCAAAGAGCCTGGGCAACTATTTGTCCTGTTCAGCACGCTGGTTGGGAGAGTCCCTTGGGAGACAGTCCTGAAGGGCAAAGGGGTCCAGGAAGGCTGGGTATTTTTCAAGGAAGAAGTCTTAAAGGCACAGGAGCAGGCTGTTCCCATGTGCCATAAGACAAATAGGCAGGGAAGACGACCTGCCTGGCTGGACAGAGGCCTACTACTGAGACTCAGGAAAAAAAGGAGAGCTTACCAGCGCTGGAAGAAGGGGCAGGCAACCCAAGAAGAGTCCAGGGATCTTGTCAGGTCATGCAGAGAGGAAATTAGAAAGGCAAAAGCCCAACTGGAACTTAACCCAGCCACTGTTGTAAAGGATAATAAGAAAAGTTTTTATAAATACGTTAATAGCAAAAAGAGAGCCAGGGAGAACCTCCATCCTCTAGCGGATGCAAGGGGGAACGTT